GTTAGTTGTTTAAAAAAAGCCTCATCCACCTCTTCCTCCTGGTTAGGTGGCCTGTAGTAGACTCCTAGCATGACATCACCCTTGTTTTTTACCCCTTTTAGCCTAACACAGAGACTCTCAACACTTCTGTCTCCTATGTCCATCTCCACCTCAGTCCAAGTGTGTACATTTTTAATATATAAGGCAACACCTTCTCCCTTTTCCCCCTGTCTATCCTTCCTGAGCAAGCTGTATCCATCCACACCAACATTCCAATCATGTGTATTATCCCACCAAGTTTCAGTGATGCCAACAATGTCATAGTTGTATTTATTTATTAGCACTTCCAGTTCTTCCTGCTTAGTACCCATACTTCTCGCATTAGATCATTTAATCTGACCTGTGTGACACAGGCCAGAGAATTTCATCCACTTACTCCTGTATTGAGCCCAACTACAAATCCCTGGAAATAAACGTTAGTACTGGAAACACTGATGCTACAGTTTGCACAGACTCCAGTGCTATGACTCGGCCCTGCTTTTTTTTAATGCTGTGTTTTTAATCAGTGTCATGCTGATACATGTACCTGAGTCGAGCGATGTATCTGAGCCAGTCCGGGAAGAGGTTTGCTTGAACAGAATTTCCCTTTTTGTCTTGCTCCCAGGTATAACGGGGAAGTTGGTGACATTGTGGTTGGGAGAGTCACAGAGGTAAGGTGAAGGAGATCCCAGCCGCTGTTTCCTGCCAATGACTCGTTTTCCCTGACAACGTACTAAAACCAGAATTATGCATGTCCTACATTTAAAATGTAAGAGTGTTAGTGAGAAGTACGGTTTAGTAGTGACAACATAGGACTGTCATTGGTGTGTCTGTGTCTGATGGATGACATTTCTAGTGCACCCAGCACCTTAGCATCCAGGCTTTTTACGGCCTGCCACTGGGCATTGAGGAAATTCAGCATCGTACAGTATTGGACTTTCCTTTTTTAAGTTCCTGAATTCTATTCCAGGCTGTGCTTCTGTGTGACGTTAAGGAAGTCATTGCCCATCTGTAGAATGGAGATGATATCAGCCTTCTGGATTAAAGGGACACGGTTAATGTAACATTTAGTTGGAGTCCTAAAAATTGAGTTCAAAGTCGTTTTGTGTGCTACATCTGTGCCTGAGACCCCCTGTTAACGTTCTTAGTGGATGTATGTACCAGGTGGGGTATGTTCACATACACAGAGAACGGGACAAATCTCGTCACTTACTCCTCTTCATTTGTCTGTATGAAGTTCTTTGGTTGGTGTGAATTGCTGGGGACTGTGGTTCTACTGGCCATTGAAAGTCCTGCTCCACTGGTAAGCACATGCTTGATGTTTCAGAATAACAGAGGAATGTCTCTTACCTCCCCCTCAGGTTCAGCAGAAACGATGGAAGGTGGAGACCAACGCCAGGCTGGATTCAGTCTTGCTTCTCTCATCCATGAACCTACCAGGAGGGGAGCTGGTGAGTGAAATCCCAAATAGTGTGTTGCTGGATTCCTTTCTTGCTGCTCAACGGCAGCAGATGTGAGGAGCTAGGCGCTGAGCTGAGCTGCAAGGCTGTGTGTCTCTTTCCTCAGTTGCTGTTCAAGTGCAACATTGGTGCCCAGCTAATTCATCGATGCGTGCAAGTCTGCGGGTTAATCTGCTGTACCCCTTTCCAGGACCTTCTGCACAAAGGCAGCTCATCCCATCAAGGGTCATTCCTTCTACATAACTGATACCCTCAGTGGGTAGGACTACACTTGAAGCTGGAGATGTAATGTGCAGCTGGGGGGAGACATACCCACGTTCGCCCTGATCAAGCTAGCGTGATAAAAGTAGTGTGTAGCTGCAGCAGCCTTGAGTGCGTGCCTGCCAGAGGCACTAGGTATGTACTTGGGCCAGTTGGCCCCTCCTGTTGCTCGTGCTGCATTTTTAGCATGCTAGCTCAATCAGAGCTAACACAGGTATGTCTGCTCAAGCTCAGAATCCCATTCCCAGCTTGAAGTGTAGACGTGCATCTGTTCATGTAGCTGTTGCATGTTTTACACTTCTGGGTTATGGGAATTGTGGCACTCTGAGATAGAAGAGACGTATTGGGTCCCATCCAATCAGCTACCCTCATCCTGGCCAGGCAGGATTGTTCCTACAGTATATTCTCCAGTGCTTTACCCTACTGCTGGACACATTTTGATTGGGTATCCCTTGATCTATAGAAAGAGGCAGGTGGTAGGATTAGAACTGAAGGACAGGTGCTCTACCTGCTGGTCTAAGGAAGCCGTGCCCCCTAGCTTGTGGTGGCAGAGCTTTGAGAGGTGGGCGGAATTAAAATGGATGGTGATCAGTTAACTTTTCCTCCCTTTGTGCTTTTCAGAGGAGGAGATCAGCGGAGGATGAGCTTGCAATGAGGGACTATCTACAGGAAGGGGATCTTATCAGCGTATCCTTCCTTCATTTGCATTTAGGCAGGAGACCTCTGTGGGTCTTTGGTGCATAACCAAATGCCGGCAGATTAACTCTCTCTGTTAATCAGAACATGAGCCTTCCTTCTTCATATGTGTGACCTGATCCAAGAGTTCTCTCCTCCACCACTGACTGAAATAGGTGGGACAGGAAGGCAGGACGTGAAGGGTGTTATACTCACCTTTGTTTCCACCTGACATTTGTCTGCCTCCCCAGTTCTGTCTGGCTTTAGGTCCCATTTTTGCCTAAACAGTAGGTGTATCGTGGTCAGGAGCACTGGACAGCCTCTCCATGAGGCTCTAATCCTGTTCTGGGATACTTGCTTGAAGGAAGCATCTGCCCTAGGATGGCTGCCGGAGGGAAACAACATTCATACACCATCCCTGAAGGCAGAGATCATCTGCTGACCATTGTGGGAGACGCTCCATCTTAGACTCTATCATTTGTCTTATCTGGCGGTCTCCCAGGCTTATCAGGCTGGTCTTACTCCCGGTCTGGATGCTGTTCCCCAAATCCTTCACCTCCAGTTTGCTGCTTCTGCACATTTGCCCTCCCTCCCCACTTCCCAAGGACTAATTGTTGGTGTGCTAGCGGGGGATGGACCTGGGCTTGTGGGCCTGTGTTGTCTTGGGGGCAGATATGCTACTTTGTCACTCCATAGCCAGTATTGCATGGTCCTGCGTGAGGCTACCAGGCCGAGAAAAAAGACTGAGCTTTGAGCCCCTAGGCTGGCCTGAAATGACAAGGAAAGTACCATCAGACAGCAATGCTGGGGATTGGTGGAAAACTATGGGATAAAGGGAAACTCCACCTGAATATTTCATTTGGGGGTTGCACAGTGGGAGGGATGGGAGGTGGGGGAATGAAAGCTGGTGGGGCTGGTTGGAAGCAGACTTCTCTTTTCCTTAAGCAGCACTGCCAGGCAGAAGTCCAGGCAGTATTTTCTGATGGGGCTGTATCACTGCACACGCGGAGTCTGAAATATGGGAAGGTGAGGTACCGAGCAGACTGCTACTTTTCCTTGTCACTGGAATTTGTATGGCTGTACACCAGCGTAACTGAGAGCAGAGTTGACTCCCGAGTGAGGGGTCCTTCACCATGAAGGGTTCTAGATAAGAACAAGATATGGTTACTAACCTTTATCTTCAGGCTGGGAAGATGAAGGGACCGGGGCCCAAAGTGAAATAAAATGCAGAGTCCCCCCAGTGTGAAATGAATCTTGTCCATTCGCCCTTTAACCCTCCCTATCAGCAATTACAGATTGTGAACCCCTTCTGGGTATCAGAACCCTGGGGAGAAATCGCCCTTGGCTGAAACTTCCTGATAGCTCTTCCTGCCCAGAACCGCCTGTGACTTTTCCTTCTCTCTCTTGCCCCAGGACTCGGGGGCTTTATGTGCCTGGCATTTATCTCTGGTCTTGTGTGTTGAAATAAGCCAATGGGCCATTTGTACTTAGGCTGCAGTTCAGGGTTATCAGATCTGGGATATTAGCACTTCAAAGCTGAAAGCGGAGTGGGATTACTGTACAAAGGGTGAAGGACGGCGACTGGATCAAATGTGCCGCTAAATGGAGCCTCTCTCATTCTTTGCCTTTTGGGAAGGCTAGATGGCATGTTGGTACGATCACGATATTAGTATTTCTCTCACTGAACACTTCCATAGCACTGTGTCTTCAAAGCGCTGCCTGGGCATTAGTTAACCCTCCCAGCACGCTGGAGGCAGGCAGGGTTGATTGATATCCCCATTTCCCAGACGGGGACAGCAAAGCACTGAGTTGAAGTTGGTTGGCTCCCAGACCACCAGTGGAGTTGGTGTCAGTGGTCAGGCCACACCCCTCTCACGTTAAGTGTCACTCTCCTCTTCAGCTTGGCCAGGGTGTGCTTGTTCAGGTCTCTCCCTCCCTCGTGAAACGCCAGAAGACTCACTTCCATGATCTACCCTGTGGCGCCTCCGTGATCCTTGGCAACAACGGCTTCATCTGGATCTACCCAACGCCCGAGCAGAAGGATGAAGAGGCAGGGGGCTTTGTCACCAATCTGGAGGTGAGGAAACAGTGCTTCAGCGGTGGTTGGGTTGGTTAGTTGCTCGTCAAAAGGCCTCTTTATCAAGCTGTATTTCAATAGCCTGGCACCAAGCAACAGTACCCTGGTATCCACGGTATAGGGAACCCGTGTCCAGGGAAAGTGCTTACCTAAGGGCTCTCTCACATTTCATAGCATGGCCCACACCTGAATAAAGAGATTGTCACGCAGCATCTCCCCTTCTGTTCACAATCATGGAATGTCCCAGGGGACACGACAGCAGTTGCTTCTATGTGGAACACAATAAGGAAATATTTATATCTGTAGCTGTCTGCTAGTGTGAATTAGCAGTTGGAAACAAGGAAGGGAGCCACCACCATGGGAGCAGACAGGTCTCCGGGAACCACCACACCTGGCTCAGTCAGCATCTCCGTGATTTGTTCACATACCTAACGCACGGTGAACTGCTAGCCGAATTCCTCACTCTTTAATATTGACCAGCAAACCGCATGCATCCTCGCTGAAACACTGGACTGTTCCATTAGTACTGCCTGTGTGGAGTGAGTTGGCTTGTGTGGGGAGATGGCCAGGGACTTTTCCTTGCACAGACAGCTGTGTAGCTTCATGGTCATCGTCTGTGCTGCCCTGTGGGATGCCCGGGTTTAGTGCTCGGTCCTGATCTCTCTCGTCCCTCTGGTGTGTGCTGCAGGCATGGCGCACTCAGCCAATGTAAGGAACAGCGTCAGTGGGCTACAAAAAGCTGCAGTTCCACTTTTGGATGGCAGAACATTGCCCGAGACCTGGAATTTTAGGTGGGGAAGTGGAGGGAGGTACAGATGGGGAATTGGGGGGAATCTTCAGACAAAGAGTTGTCTGTCTGAACATCCAGGCTTCTTTTATAGTGTAGTGGAGCATATCATGGGCAGCGAGTAGCTGTTGACCAGAACTGATAGACCACATCCCCTTACCTGGCAGCGTGGAAAGAACCCAAGATTCCTGGCTCCCAGTCCTTGCTCTAATCACTAGTTCCCTTGTCTCCTTAGACATTTGAATTCACTCTCAGGGAGAGAAGTTGTATTACGTAGATGATGCAAGTCACTGGATGTGGTTTTAGGTTTGGAGTGACGCTTGCATTGTCCTAGACCTCCAGCACTTCTTTGCAAATTCATCCCTTTCTCACACTCCGTGTCTTTTCCCTTTTATCCTCGCTTCCCTGTCAGCCAGTCTCCGTACATGACCGGGAGGTCATCTCACGACTCCGGAACTGCATCCTGGCTCTGGTTGCTCAGAAGCTGATGCTCTACGACACCAGCATTGTGTACTGCTACGAGGCCTCCCTTCCCCATCAGGTACTGAGTCCAGTTGCTGCTTTCTTCACTCCCTGCTACACAGGCCACACTACTTTACCCCAAAGCCAGGAGGACAGTGCATGCTTTCATTTCCTGGCATCCACCCAGAAGCTCCTTGTAAGCGGCAATATGATGTCCTCTGTCACAGCGTGACGCAGATGGCTGTGGAAAGGTTGGGATGGGGATGGGTTGAAAATCCCTACATCAGGTAATGTTCAACTTGGGCTCTATAGAAACAACTATCTCCTTCACTAGCAACGACAAGTTTTCTTCCCTGGGTGAAAGAACAGCCCCTTCCTCTCTGATCCCGGTCAAACCAGGGTTTGGAATTGCATCAGGGTAGGGTGAGGTGAGGAGGAGGTGTCTCACATACAATGGAAGGTCAGAGTTTTGTCTTCTCTTTCCCATATGCACATCCCCTGCCAATGCTGGATGGTTCCTGGTGCTAGACTTTCTGTAGCTGGATATGGTGCAGTCAACACCCCTTTGCCCCATGATTTGTTAATGATTTTAATGCCATATGCTATCACTGAGATCCCATCAACAAGCCTTCGTTGTTCTCCTGTCCTCACCAAACAGACAGAGACTTAAAAGGTCTCCTGCTTTCATGTCCAGTGTCAGCCTCCCAGGCACAATGGGACATGCAGTCAAGCTCCACCTCCAATATTATGCTCCTTCTTAAGTACCGAAGCATATGATTTAGGAAGGGCTGTGGTGTCTCTGTGCCCTCAACTCCTCAGTAGCTATAGAATCATAGGACTGGAAGGGACCTTGAGAGGTCTTCTAGTCCAGTCCCCTGCACTCGTGGCAGAACTAAATATTATCTAGACCATCCCTGAGAGACTAGGCAAGACTCACTTAGTTCCCTTCTCATTGGTAAATTTGCTGTCAGGACTTGGGGAATCTATCGGGATTGTTGCCAGTAGAGAGAGTCTGCTTGGGCCACAGCCCCCGGTCTTTCCATATGCTGCATTAACACCTGCCTGCAGTTCATTGCCCTGTGCACCTGGCAGGGCCTCGTCCACTTCATGTGTGGGGGTCACGACTGCAAACGTTGCTCTTCTCCTTTTCACTGCAGATCAAGGACATTCTCAAACCAGAGGTGATGCAGGAGATTGTGCTGGAGACCCGGCAGAGGTTGTTGGAACTGGAGGGTTGAGGGAAGGAGACATGGCAGCTTGGAGTCCCACCAAACCAGCATTGACTCCCCAACTTCCTGCATCACCCCAACCCCCTAAATGTCTTTCCAGAGCTCAGAAAATACCTGACTCTCCCTGTCTCACTTCCGGGATTCCTTCTGGTTTGTAGGGCAATGTAAACCCCTCAACCTGCAGACTGGACGTATGGTCTTTGTGAAGAGCAACTGCCACTGGGACGTAGCTCGCTAGACTAGTTGCCATGGTGGGCAATGTGCTTCTAAAGTGCCCCTAAGGTGGTCCACATTGTTAGAGGACAGAGGAAACAACATATTTTTGTTTTGCCTTATGGTTTCTCCTACGCGGCCCCCCCCCCCTCCCCCCAGATCAGGTTAGCAGTCCTAGCAGTGGTTGACCTTGACAGTGATAGGAGCTCTACCAATGTGTCCTTTATTCAAGATACACATTTTACCCCTCACGACCCACATTGCGGCTACCCATCTCCAAAGGACTGGACTCGTTGCCAAGCCTGTGAATGGTTATGTCGGCGTGCTGTGCGGATCTCTCTGTCCCCTTCCAAACACACACTGGATTTGGATGTTCAGTTCTTGCATTTTCTGTGCTTACACTATAGCTCACAGAATGGTACAAAAACCCGCTGGTGCTGGGTGGCCATCTCACTGCGTATTGAGTTCCCATAGGTAGTAGTCAGGCAAGGTGCCTTGATCCTCCAGAGCAAAAGGCGTCTTCCCATCCCATGCGCGGAAGTGATGATCCCAAGCGCTTTATTTTGTAGGTCTGATGCTATGAGCTCCTCTGGTCGTGAAGGATTTAGCTGTTGTTTCCTACTAGAGTTTTTTTTTTTTTTTTTAAATCTTCAATAAAGAATGGTTTTTGAGAGAGAATCTGAGAGTCGTTTGTTTGGATGAGCTTGTGTCCCACCATGATGAACTGTGTCTCACTAAGGAACCACTCTTAGGTCAAGTCTTTCCTGTACAAGGACGTCAGTGGCCGCACTACGTCCTGCTGGGTCCCATCTCTTCATCCTGCCTGTGCAGAAGTGGCTGAAGCATCCCTTGCTAAGGTGTTGCTGGCTGCCTTTCCCTCCACTCTCCATCAAGACTTTGCCCACCTCCCTCCATGGGGCATCTTGCCCCGCATGGTGCTCCTGTGTGTTGTTCGTGTGCTCAGCGTGGCCTTGCTTGCAGTGGCTCCTACACAATAGTTGCTTCCCTGAGATCCCTGGGGGAATTAGGTCAAGACCATCCGTGCCATCCTAAGGGAGGTGGGAGGACACCTCACCCCTTAAAATGTGGGTCCTCCCTGGGATCCTCAGGAGGGTGTGAGGTTAGTGGGTAGAGCAGGGTACGTTGAGTCAAGACTCGCGTTCTGGTTCCTGTTCGGCCACTGTCTGCCATTTCTCTGTGCCTCCGTTTTCTCTGTCTGTAAAGTGGGGATGATGCCAGTTTCATAAGGGGGGTCAGAGACTGAATTAATTGGCTTGTAAAGTGCTTGGATATTCTGGCTGCGATGGGCCCATTGCAAAGTGAAAAGCCATTGATAGAACCAAGAAACTTGTCCTGTTTGTCGTTTAATCTAATACTGATATTGAAAATCCTCAGCTCAGCCCTTTCCTGCAGGAGCCTTTGCTCCAAGACTTTCCATGGGAACCAGAAATATGCCTCAATTTGCCTTCCATCTCCTTCGCGTTGCCCCCTGCAGTTGCCTTTGACTAAGCACTAGGTGGCAGTTTCCACTCAAGTTTGCAGAATTTCAGCCTGCTGCACTAAGCTTTCTATTGCATCTTCCAGCTCACAGCTGTTAAATGAGTATGTTGCATGTTCCATGTAATGCACTCCATGCAGCAAGGCCCAGGAACATTGAGCGACCAGAGCTACTATCTGCATCTGAGGTTTGAGAACATTTCCTACTACACACTGCAGCAAACACATCGTCAAGCAGGGAAGAAAATTCTGCAGGGATTACCTCCTTAAAAGCTGCAGCCTGTGAATGATGCAGGCACCTCTGCCATTCAAGTATTCATGGAGAAAAACAACCCAAGAAGACAACCACAGGGGTGTCCTTACACCGTTACCCTGTGCATGTTAGAATTGGTTAGCAGCATTTATGTTCCTTGTATGATAGCAGATTCTATTTTTTTACCCAAGTCACTGAGTCAAGATGTTCGTTTGTTGCTGGAGGGAGGGAGTTGGGGGATTTTTTGCCCAGCTTTAGTACGTAGCTTTCAAATGCTATTGGGTGTGGAGCAATATAAGTAGCAAGACAGTATTCAGCAATGGTTCCTGCTTTCCAAGGGGATTGACTCAAGTAAAAGGAGGCCAGGTGAATTACTCTCATTCTACCCTGTATCCTTATCTAGTCTCTCTGCTTTTAAACCACGTTCAGCACCTTAACCTGGTTTAAAAGTGGGCTGAGGGATGAAATTACTGCTCTTCCCTGCCTCCCAGGAGGGTTGTGTCAGCTGACATCCAAACATGGCTTGATTGGAAATTGTGAATGTAAAATATTGCCATATTTCTGGACCTCTGGCAACCTCACACTACACCCCGTAATGGTTCTTTGAGGGAGGGGGAGTGCAGATGGGCTTAAGCCTTTCTTGAAAGTGGTTTAGCTAATCTGGTTGAAGGATGTGAGAGAAACCAATTTCCAAATGAGATTAGTGCCAGTGGAGACTGACTTGCTTGGCTTGGATTTAGCGCTCAGGACTATCTTTCTACTGTAACCATGGGACCTCCTCTTGTCACCAGCAGGCTCAGGTTCAGGAGTGGAGGCAGCAAGGAGCATGTGGTGCCTCTTCTTGAGTGGCTCTCCAATCAAAATGGCCCATGTTCAGGCTCAATTTTCAGAGGAAGAACAAGGAAGGGCATCTAGCTAACAGAAAATGTGCAATGTCTTTGCCTGCATGTTATAAGAGCGTGTTCCATGCTCCAGTTTGTCTTTCACCAGCCCCATCTCCCTCTCACATGCCTCTGTGGGTCACGCAGGTTGATATGCATGGATCTACAGCCAGAGATGGGTGAGAAGTTAGTTAAAAATCCAGCCCATCTGTTTCAGATCTGAGCTTTTTGTTTCCTTTTGGTTTTAGCAGAGAAAGTTTCTAGCTCTTAGTTAGATTCCTTGGATGTGTCAAACAGGTGAAGGTGTGTGAACATATCAATTACTGTGAAGCCAAGTAACTAACCCACTGGTCCTGTTGGGCAGGGGCCTCTGAACAGAAGCATGAGCACAGGTAAGGGGCTATTTCCTTTCATGTGTTCTAAAAAATATAATTGGATATTTTTCTAAATGGCCGCTAGAGGTCTCCAGTGGTCTATGCAAATCCTGCTAGTGCACCAACCCACAACTAAACCCTGAAGACTATTTGCAAAGGGCATTTCTGGGGTTCAGATAGTCTCTTTATTCAATTCCTGAACCGACATGTTCCCTTATCTGAGTAGGTCACTTTTGATTCCTGCCCTTCCCCATCACTTGCATTGAGAGGGAGATGAACCTAGGCTGGCATTTTCAAAAGAGTCTGAGGCTGTTAGGTGCCCAACTCCCATTAAAATGGGGTACCTAACTCCCTTAGGCACAATTGAAAATCCCAGCCTTCGTGAGACGAGGATCCATCACTGTCTTCTCATGAAGGACCATGAGTCTGCCCTGTTGGTTACCCTGGGGGATGGGCAAAGAGTTTAAAACTTGGAGCGGATTGTTTCAGAGACTTGGCGATCTTTAAGCGCTGTCACTGTGCTTGTCCCTCTTTGAAACAGAGATGGAGCAGTCCCTGCCCCAAGGAGTTGACAGTCTAAATGACTGAAATAGCCAACAACAGGATTTATATATTCTGCAAACAGCTTTGAAAAACAGATTGGCTTAAGGGGATCAGCTGGATGGCTGCATTCAGAGAATGCTGCCAGGTTCCTGAACTTGTGCTTTTGGAAAAGAAACATCCAGCTTGCAGCCCATCCTCTGGGAAGAGCAAATCAGCAGCAGTGAGATAAGAGAAATAATCCCATGCAGGACTTCATTGACATCTCTAAATCAAGGGAGGAAAGCTCATGTTGCCAGATGCCCAAGACAGAATTACAGGGAACAATGGGTAGAATGTGGTGGGATACAATGGAATTTGTTGGTACATGGTAGACAACATAGATGGGGTTAGTCATTTTACAGAGTCCGTTGTAACCTAATGGGAGAAGGTGACATTTATGGCTTGTCTACACGGGGAAGTTGTCCCGGAATAAAGTAGAAGGTAAATTTAAAGCAGGATAGCTATTCTGCAGTAACTCCCTGTATGGATGTTCTTTTTCCTTGAAATATAAGAGTGTCTTTTCCTGGTTTAGCTTAATCCACTTCCAAAATGGACTATGCTAAATCAGAAGAAGGCAATCTTTTTCCAGCATAACAGTGTTCAAAGAGGGAGTTCTTCTGGAATAGTTTATTCTGCAATAGTTATTCTGGTCAATTTCCCCATGTAGACAAGTCCTTTGAGGGAGTAGTGAGCCAGCGAGTACGATGGGTCAGGTGAGAGATTCAACCTGGGGAGCAGTCTGAGCGAGAATTGCCAGGAGGAGTGGAGTTGCATGGGGTTGCCTGGAGAAGCAGACAGGAATAGCATTGAGTGAGTAGACATAGAGAACAGTGGGCGCCATTGAAAACAAATGATCATTACTGCTTATGTAATTAGGTTTATTGTGGGCATGCCCACTCAGTGGGCCTGATCCTGTGCAGTGCCAAGTACTCTCTGAGAGCAACGTCAACAACCGCTTGGTGTACTGCGCACCTGGCAGGATCAGGCCACAAGACTTGGAAACGCTGCAGAAATCTCAGTGGCCACATACCCTAAGGTGGTAAATGACTCTCTTCCATGGCACCCAGCCGGGTAAGTATAATGTCAGAGAGGAAGGCTCAGAGTAGGTCTGTAAGGAGGTGTCTGGCAAGCCGGAGCCCACCGTTGTGCTGGGCGCTGTGTGAGCACATAGCAAAAGTCCTTGCCCCACACATCTTACAATCTAACCCCCCCCCTGCCAGCCAAAGGGGGAAAGGAAGGAAGTGGTATTATCCCTGTTCTACAGGTGGGGAAACAGAGGCACGGGATAGTTTGACATGCACTTGCTCAAGGTCACATAGGAATGGTAAAGTGGTGGTGGGGGGTCACTCCCACTAGAGACCCCTCCCCAAACTGAGCGGGGACTGTCAGACAATTGGGTCCAGTTCCTCCCTGTCGCCTCTGGTCCCCCCCCGCCACCTCCCCTCCCCTCCCCCTTCTGTTACCTCCTCCCCTTCCCCACTGTTCTCACCCCTCCTCCCCTTCCTTCGCCCCGCCCCTTCCCCGCTGCGTGCCCCGCCCCTCGCAGCCTCGCTCGGGCGCCAGCAGGTTCCCGTCATGGCCGCCGTGTGCCGCGGGCTCCTCTCCCCCTGACCGAGCCGGGAGCGGACACCCCCGCCCGGTGCCGGTGAGAGCCCCGCGGCGGCGAGCCGGCCGGGAGGCAGAGGCGGCGGCTGGCCGGAGGCAGGGCGGGGATGTGACTGGCCGGGGGGAGCCGGGAACTCGCAACCGCCCCAGGGGGGGCCCCGGCCCCTTAGCCCCCTCACCCGTCAGTGCCCCCGCTCCCCCCAGACGGCAGCCCTGCCCCCATCCCTCTGGGGCCCCCTCCCCCCAGACTGGGGCTTAAACCCTGCCCTCCACCCCAAGGGGCTTCCTCCCTCCTCAGACTAGGCCTTGACCCCCCCCCCCTTTTGTTTCCTCTCTACCCCGCCCCCCCCCACCCCCCCCCCCCGGGGTGTTTGATCTCCCCTCTCCCCCACCAGCGCTGAGCGTCCTCTTTCCTTCCTCCCCCCACCCCAGACTGGGGTTTGACACCCCCTCCCCGAGGT